AGCTCCAGGGACTCCAGTTCCCACTTCTGTCTTCCGCAGGCACTAGGTGCACATGTGGTGCACAGAAGAACATGCAGGCAAAACCCTCATACACATGAAAAACAAAAATACATCGTTTTAGAAAAACAAATTACAGCAACATAAACATCATCCCAGATCTCTAAAAATATTTTGGAAACTCTGATTAATGTTTTTGGGAAACTAGAGAGCTGAAATAAATATCCCAACTATAATGGTTAAATGGCCATAATTCAAATAACTTTAACAGAGCAATATAAAACAAATGCCATCTAAAAGAATGGTCATAGTGCCCATTTTCAGTACACTCTGGGGAAAAGCCTGGACTTTGCCATCAAATCAAGATATATTAACTTCAGCTCATCTCTCCCCAGTTATATGTCCGGGTCCCCTCAATTTTCTCATTAGTCACTTGCATGTAAAAATATCATGCCTGCTGTGGATTGAACGCTTGCATCCCACAACATTCCCATATTGAAATCTAAACCCCACTGTGATAGTATTAAGTGGCGTGTGGTCAGTGTTGGTCACAGCAACATAAATGTGACCTGGTGGCAGAGCAGAACTCGGGGCTCAGGAGACTCTAGATGGCTTCCCAGGTACAAAAGGGAAATGCTCATAAAGACGTAGGTACAAAGACATAGGTGCATGAAGCTGGAGTAGAGCCTCCTGCCACGCAGCACAGTTTGAAGAAAGAGCTACAGGCTGGTTAGGTTTGCACATCCAAGGGGAAAGTTTTCTTGATCAGACTAAAAGCTTATGTGTGCTCTCAAGAGTGACAGAGCAGTCTTGACCAGAGAGGTGGGTGGGATCGGAAATGCAGCAGGAACGTATTTATTAGGCGGTAGTGAAGGTCTGGCTCATAAATGATAACAGTCTGACTAAAAGCATGTGTCTATTTATATTAGTGTTTCACCATAGCCAACCTGAGTCAGACCCAGGGAAACTTGGCACAGGCTGGTGTTTACATTACTCAAACTGGGTGCTTATGAGACACTGATCATCGTATTTGATGTTGGTGACCCCTACGTTGCTATAGAAAAAAAAATCACACTCAACAGCCAAATTAAAATCCTGTAGGAAGGCTTAATTTTTTTAATAAGGTTTTTGTTTTATCCTCACCAACTAGTCTTTTTCATTAAGTTCCTGAGCAAAAGGGAGATGACTCAATCTCATTTGATGCCCCTTGGCCTTAAATCCATAGTACCTCACACCAAAGCTTTTCTGATAAGACAAATGTCTTCTTCCAAAGAAATAAGGTTAATTTGGAGATGCTGACAATACCTTCTTTTGCCTTTGCCCTGCTCATTTTAGGATAACATCCCATTACACAGTCCTTCAACAGTTTGGACTTCTTAAAATATAAGGTGAATCTGATTTTTTTTCTAAGTTAACCTTTGTAGATTCTTTGTACATTTCACATCATGTCTCTCAACCACATCCATCTCCCCATCCCTTCCCACCCAACCCCTACCTTTTCAATGCCTCCCCTTTGCAGGGTGAAAAAAATAAAATTTGAAAGAAAAGAAAGGAGGAAGAAAAGAAAAGGAAAATCTTGTTGTGAAATCTGTAAAGTGGCACGGTGAGTCACACAGTGTACCAGTGTACCATGTATCTGTACTTGTAAGTGTTCATTGCAATGAGTCATTCGTCTAGTTCCAGGCCTCTGGTTTTTGCTACACCATAGATAACTGGGCTCTCATCGAGGCTCCCCTTAGATAGCCTCAGTGCTGTTTTCCAGTGTCATGAACATCCTGCTGCTTTGAGGCTGTAGGCCTGGCCCCTTCAGGTGTTCCAGAAGATCACAGATTGGGTAGGTGATAATGGGACAGGCCAACACATAGCCCTGGCTCTGGGTCGTTGCTGGGTTTGTCAGTCTGCCAGCTCTCCCTAATCCTCAATAACCAGGTGAGCTCCCCAGCACCACCCTGCCTAGCTCACCTTATGTAGTAAACAGCAAGGGTCAGGGTCAGTCCTCCTTCTCCCATGTCTTCAGGGTTGGTCACTTGGGCCCCCGTCAATGGGGTCAGCTTTCTGTGTTGCCCAGGCAAGGTTCAGGGCCTGCTTTCCTGAGTGTTACATCTGGTAAGGAGCAGAATTAGCTCTCTCACCTGCAGCCGGTCTCAGGAGGCGAAGTGCAAAGGCATCTTTCCCTTACAACCACATAGCAAGAAAGGGTGCAGAATCAGTTATCCCATTCTCGGGACCTCAAGGCAGGCTCAACTCCTCCCAGCAGAGTCAGCGCTGCTATGCTGCCTGGGAGAGGCACCGTGCCTGCTCTTTTGAGTGTTGCAGCTGCTGAGAGCCAGGATTAGTTCTTTGACTCTCAAAGCCCAGGGGCCAGCTCTCCCACCTGCTATAAGTGGTGAGGGGTGGAGGGGTAGGGTGGGCATCACTCACTCACTAACACCACTCTCTGGCAGAAGAGCGTAGGGACCAGATCTCTTATACTCTTGTTCTCAGGGCTAGCTCACCTGTGCCCCGTCAGTGGAGTCAGCGCTACTGGGTTGCCAGGAAAGGTGTGCAGGACCTCTCCTGAGTGCTGTACCTGGAGAGGGGCGGGTCAGCTCTTTCATCTGACACAGGTGGCAAAAGGAAGAGGAGAGAGAGCATTTGTCTCTCACCCTCACCACCACATTCGACAAGGGGTGCATAGCCAACTCTCCCAATCCCATGGCCTCAGGGCAGGCTCAGCTGTGCCCCCAGCCACTGGGTCAGCACTAATGTAGTGCCCAGGTGAGGTACAGAGTCCGTTCTCTTGAGTGCTGCAGTTGTGGGCTTGGACCAGCTTCCCGGCCTGTAAGGGACAAGGACAGAGGGCTTATTTCCCTCACCTCACCACCACATGTTAGAGAAGAGGGGCGGGACTGGCTCTCCCGCTCTCTTGCCCTAGGGACCAGGTCACTCACACCCCTGCTACAGCTCTGTGGGCTCTGCCATGCTGCTCAGGCGAGGCACAGGGATCCACTCTCTCTAGTGCTGAATCAGCAGGGATAGGACCAGCACTCCTGTGTTGTAGCCAATAAGGTGTAGTTCCAACTCCATGCAGCCCTGTCCCCTCGACCGTCACTGGTTAACGGGAACTACAGACATCCATACAAGCCAAGGCTGGAGCACGCTTGCTATTGTTTGTTTTTCAGTTCGGCAAAACCTTGGTTTTAAAGCTTTTAAACTATCTCTTTTATAGATCCAAATTTCCAGAGTTTGAGAGTTTCAGAAAACAATAAAACAATGACTACAGCCTTTATGAAATATTCACCTTAAAAACGGAGCCGTACAAGTGCTTACACACACGCACACAGAGACACAAACACAGACACACATAGATACATACACATATAGACACACACAGACACACATACATACACACACACACACATATCATTAAAGCACTAACAAAAATCAACACACACTAAAACACCTTGAAGTACTGTCCCTGTGTTATAGATGAGATAGTTCATCTTAGAACACAAGTTCGAGATTTTGGCTGCACATTAGAAAATTTGATATATAGCTTAAATATAGCTCTGTACCTCAGCTGCTCTGTGACCACTAAGAATTAAAGCAGGTTGGATTCAGGCACTAGCATCCAATAACTCCGATATTCAGACAGCCCAGTTGAGTACTGCTTTTTGGTACCTTACCCGTGGCAATTCATCTTGAAAATGACAAGTCTTTCTATTCCAATACTCATGACCTTACAATTCTTTGTTCAGTTATTAGAACAGATAGTAACTTTGATCATATGGGGGAAATTATTTTACATTCCATAAAAGACCCCAATCTCCAAGCTTTGGGGTCTTCTGGTAGACTTTAGAGCTCAGATAATAGTGGGCGGCTTTAAAGGTCTTCCCAATAAATTTTAAACAAAGTCATATTTGATAATCACTGCTTAATATTATCATTTTAATTTAAAAAATTATATTTTTCCATGCATAGATTCAAGACACTGAAAACAATCTTATTTCTACTTGCTTTCTATTGGTTTTTCATTCCATTAAGGAATTCATGTAGAGTTCTTAGTATTCATCAAACATTTAATAGTATAAATGGTTTAACAATGATTGTACATATTGAACACACCCGATATTATACAAATGCTCAAGCATTCAAAGTCCCTAAAAACCAGAAGCTTATAATGTTAAAATTTTTACTTGTCATTGTCAACAATATACAAATCTTTATTTTTAACTTTTTTATTGATTTGTAAATTTCAAATTATGCACCTAAATCCCACTCCTTAACTCATCCCTCCATTTCTGCCTTCCACCCTTTCAACCTCCCTTGTCAAAGAAAACAAAAGTTTAAAAAATAAATAAAAATGTATTTTTTTAAAAAAAAAAATCTCACCATGGTAGCTGCAATGTATCACAGTGTCACTCAGAGTATCATTTTGCCTAAATAGCTTTACTTACAAATGTGCATTGCAATGAGTCATTGGTTTTCTGACTTCTGCTACACTGTCAATCAGCACGGGACGCGTTTGGGATGTCCTGTTGCTGCACTGTGTCATAGAGATCCTGCAGCTTTGGTTCTTCAGAACCAGTCCCTTCACATGCTACAGCAGTTCATGGATTAAGTGGAGGTTGAGGCGGGTCATCTTATAGCCTGGGACCTGGGAATGGGTAGTAGGTGAGTTTATCAGCCCACGACTCTCTGGCACCTGCACCATCAGGGACAACTCTCCTGTTTTGCCTAGGTGAGGGGCAGGGCCAGCTCTCCCACTGCACCCTGGCAAGGAGTGGGGCCAGCTCTCCCACATCCACGTTTCCAGGGCCAGACAACGTTAAAATCTTAAAGAAAAAGAGAATATAGTGAATGGAGGTCAGGCTTCAACCGTTTCTAGAGATGAGAAGGGGGCGTGATCATCATCAGTAGAGACCCAAAAGCAGAAAATTAGACAAGAGGCAAATATCACATAGGCAGAGCACAGCCACTGATGTGGTTTCTGTTAGAGTAAATCAGTGTACAGTTTCTTTTACAAAACTATAGGACAATTCATTAATTTGCATGCCAGCCTTGTACAGGGGCACCGCTAATCTTCTCTGGGGCTCTAATTTTAGTGCGTGAGGTGCTGAAGTTAGCACAGCTTGTATTTTCAAAAGTTAAAAAAAAGTGGAATCAAGTAGTAGGTGTTTACTACATGGATTCCTAACACCTAGACTGTTTCTACTATTGCTTAGTTTCTTTCACTCGTTGTGAAATCCATCAAATGTTTGGTGTGTTTGAATAGTTCGTTTCTATTCTTTGCTGGATACAAGTCTATTACAGAAATGTTCTATTGGTTCTTTTATCCACTTGTGTTGTATTAGAGTCAACTAACTGAAGATCAAAAATATTTAAAAACGGTTCTCTTTACTGGTTATGGAAGACTTTTTCTTGTCGTTATTCTCTGAACAATAAAATATTAAAACTATATACATAGCATTTATATTGTATTAGATATTATAAGTAATTTAAAGATGATTTAAAGTGTGCTCTAGGATATGCATAGGTTATGTGCAAACACCATGCCATGTTACTAAGTACAGAAACATCTTCAGAGTTGAGGTCTTTGAAGGATTCTGGAACCAGTCCTGCAGTCTGGCTACTGGGGACTACCGTAACTTGCCTATCTATCCACTGAAGAACTTTTATGTTGTGTATCTATTTATTAACTCTATTTCATTGATATTTTTAGTTTTCTTGGTATGAATAATAAGGATATGTGATCAATACTGTAAATTTATATCATGTCTTGAAATCTGGAAGTGTTAGCCCTGCAAATCTGAAAATGTGTTTCTTTCCTATTAATCCTATTCTAGATAAGTTAGGTCGTTTGCATGTCTATAGAGGCTTTAGAAATGAGTTTGTAGATTTCTGTAAAAAATGCTTTGATCTTGTTTGAAACTATATTAAATTGACAGAATACCTTGGAGCAACTTGACAGTCTAAAAAAATAAATCAGGAACCAGCTTACATTCAGTAAAAACTGAAAACATTTATGCTTTTGAAGACACTGGATCTTGTGTCAGTTGCTATCATACTGAAAAAATAATCATAGTATCAAAATATACATACATACTAGTGCTTTTATAAAACTTTGTAAAACTAAGCTTGGCCAGATTTAATTTATGAAGTATAGCTGGCTAATCAATAATGAGTTTTATACTCCATCTTGAACTCCTGGAGAGTCTTATTGTCTTAGGGTTTTTATTGCTGTGAATAATTGCCATGACTATGGTAACTCTTATATGGAAACATTTAAATGGGGCTGGTTATTGTTCAGAGGTTTAGTCCACTATCATCATGGTGGAAAGTCAGGCAATGTGCACCCAAACATGGTGCTGAAGAGGTTGCAGAGAGTTTTAGATCTAGATTTGAAGGCAGCAGGAAAAAAGGCAGCAGGAACAGAGTCACACTGAATCTGGTTTGAGCAACTAAAAATCTCAAAACCCATCCCCAGTGACACACTTCCTCCAAAAAGGCCACACCTCCTAATAATGCCACTTCTTATGAGCCTATGAGGGTCATTTTTATTCAAACCACCATGTTCATCAATCTTGAAAGGGCTTTGTTGTGAAATAATTCTTCTGTGCATAGTTAATATGTATTACTCTGATTGGTTAATTAAAGAAGATGACTGGCAGGGGCTGGAGAGATGGCTCAGCAGGTAAGAGCATAGTCTGCTCTTCCAAAGGTCCTGAGTTCAATTCCCAGCAACCACATGGTGGCTCATCTGTAATGAGGTCTGGTTCCCTCATCTGGACTGCAGGCATACATGTAGACAGAATATTGTATACATGATAAATAAATAAAAATAAACATTTAAAAAAAGATGACTGGCTAATAGCTAAACAGGATAAGGTTAGGAAGGAAGGCCAGACTAGGAGGGGGCTGGAAGAAAGAAGGGCAGAGTCTGGAGTTTCTACCCAAATGCAAGATGCAGAGGGGACAGAAGATGAACATGCCATGCTAATAATGATATCACCATGTGGCATGGTGTAAATAAGGAACATGAGTTAATTTAAAATGTAAGAACTAGTTAGTAATAAGCCTGAGCTATTGTCCAAGCTTTTATAAATAATATAAGCCTCGGTGTGTTTATTTGAGAGCTGCTGGAAGGACATAAACTTCCATCTATAGGATTTAGGGTGTCTCTGCATTTACTTAGATTTTCACTGTTCTCAACAATGGTTTGTGGTTTTTATTACATAAGTTTTACACATGTTTTATAAAGTTTATCTGTATGTATTTCATATTTTTGATAAGCTATTATGGTGGTTTGAAAGAAAATGGTCTCCAAAGGAAGTGACACTATTAGGAGGTCTGGCCTTGTTGGATGAATTATGTTATGGTGTATGTGTGTGTGTGTGTGTGTGTGTGTGTGTGTGTGTGTGTGTGTAGGGGTACTTTGAGGTCTCATTCAGTGTGACAGTCAGTCAACTTCCTGTTGCTTCTGAGTCAAGATATAGGACTCTTAGCTCCAGTACCACATGTTTCTATATACTGCCGTGCTCCCCATCCTGATGATAATTGATTGAACCTCCAAAACTGTAAGTAAGCCACCTCAATTACATGTTTATATTTACAAGAGTTGCTGTGGTCATGGTGTCTCTTCAGAGTAGGACCACATGTGAGACCCACTGTAACTTTCTGAGCCTAGCTCAAGTTTGGAAATCTGTCTTTGGCCATGACTACTGCATATGAGCGACTCAGCACAGCCCCAAACCTACCTCTGACCAGCCATTGCTAATGTGGCAGAATGGTATTGGTCCTTATTCCTTACTCCACCTTAGCCCATTCCAGTACTCCCATCCCCTGTCTCAGCTCTATATAAGTTCCTGCCTGATGCAATAAAATGAGATTCTGCTTTGACAGACTCCTGACTCATGTGTGTGTTTCTCTTTGGTGGTTGGAGGTGGTCTGGGTCATTGACCATCTTGCTCAGCTCCAGGGAAAGTCTGGCAGATTTGGCTCTGCCCCCGCCCTTTCTGCCAGAGAACCCAGCAGATTGGTACCCCATGTGAGGGATTCAGAAGGTTTTGCTGATGGGCCAAATGGTCTGTGGGTGAGTGTACCTTCATTAAATATGGGGAAGTCCTCTTTTAAACAAAATCCTGCCTTGGAGTACCTGCAGGTACTACTTAAAAGCAATGGCTTTAATTTTTCTGACAGTCAAGCCCTCCAGACATGGCCTCACTCAGAATCACCTGGGTAGACTTCCTAATCCATGGAACTCAGATAGAGAAAGGGGAAATTCCCCCTCTGGAAGCCATTGCAACTGTCACTGCCTTAAAGGGCTGCTTTTCACCAGGGCCCCCAAAGAGAAAAATTAGGCCATTAATCCCCTAATCCCCCACACCTGTGGGACGCTTTCCAACACTTCTGACCAGTATTTCCTTCAACAGACCACCATTCCACCCCCTATCAGGATCAGGTACAGGTGCTGGAGCTGACTGCTTGGAAGAAATTGGAGGACAATTTGTCTTGGCTCAATACCCAGGGCTTAATTACCACCCTATTGCTCCCTGAGAGTCGGGGTGACCTTGTCCTTGACCCCCACATGGAATTTCTTCTCCATATGTATTTTTTTCTGTACTTAATCAGACACTGTCTTTGCCTCCAAAACAGAAGAGGGTTAGACCTACGAGCTACTGAAAAGGGAGGCATCTGCTTGTGCTTATAGGAAAGGCGCTGCTTTTATGCTAAAAAGTCAGGAATCATCCAGGATCAGATCAAAAAACTTCAGGAAGCCATAGAGAGGAGACTGTGAGACCTTCAAGATAATCCCCTGTGGATTGGCCTTCATGGATTCTTACCCTACTTCTTTCCCAACTCAGACCCTTTCTTTTCCTTATTTTCCTCCTTATCATTGGGCCTTGTGTGTTCAATAAGATCACACAATTTATTCACCAAATGCTGTGGGACAACGATTTGTACCCTGTCAATTATATTTTAGAAAAATGTTGATTGGCCAGTAGCCAGGCAGAAAGTATAGGTGGGACAACCAGATAGGAAGTAGAGGTGGGTCAATGAGAACAGGAAAATTTTGGGAATAAGGTCTGCAGTTGTTACCCAGACACAGAGGACACATGTGACTGCCTCACCAAATAAGGTACCAAGCCACATGGCTAACATAGACAAGAATAATGGGCTAATATAAGTTATAAGTGTTAATAGGAAGTCTGAGATACTAGGCCAATCAGTTTATAGCTAATGTAGACCTCTGTGTAATTTTCTTGGGACTTAATGACTGCGGGAACTGGACAGTACAGAAAACCTCTATCAATAACCAAAGATTAGAGGCAATTAAATAATATGAGTACACTATCATAGGCTGATCACTCAGGAGTCTGTCCCCTCTTATGACTGGTTATCCTCCTATGAGTGCCCCCCTCTGCCCTCCACTTGATCAGTGACAGGTAAGATCTCAGAGAGGCTGGGATGACCAAAGACAAATTATGGAGTGGGTTCTTCATAAATGAGGTACATGGTACTCAGTGACTTCTTCATGAATGAGATACATTGTAATCAATAACGGGTAAGTTCTCCTTGTGGGAGACAACCTAAGACAGGGGCCATGTCTTTCATCATCCTAATAAAAACAAAAGGGGGAGATGTTGGGTCTCATAAGGGCTGGGCATGAGGCCCAGTGTAACTTCCTGAGCCTAGCCTGAGTTTGGTGACCTGTCTTTGGCCATGACTTCCTCATATGAGTGAATCAGTACAGCCCAACTTAAACCCACCTCTGCCCAGCCACTGCTAACATGACAGGATATTATTGAGCCTTATTACTTACTCTACCTTCCTCCATTCCAAGACTTCCACCCCAAACACAACCCTATATAAGTTCCTGCATAATACAATTAAACGAGATCCTGCTTTGATAGACTCTAAACTAAGTGTAGGTATTTCTCCCCAGTAGCGGTGGGAGGTCTGGGTCATTGACACTCACCATCCTGCTCAGCCCCAGGGAAAGTTCAGCAGGTCTGGCTTTGCCCCAGCCATTTCTGCCAGTAAGGCAGATATTATTCTTTATTCCAGAGTCAAAAAGTTAAGAAGCAGGAAACAATGAATGTTTATTATCAGCACTCCCATTCAGCAC